GAAAAATAGTGGGAAATGCAATTGCATGATAGGGTGGTCTGCCTGAATAACTGACTGCACGCACTAAATATAGAGTAGTTGCAAAGTGGTGGATAACAACATGAAAGAGGTTTGCATTGTTAATAAAGAGGGGAGGGGGGAGTGAGACACCCTTTCACAGCTAAACAGCTCTCTGGAGGCACTCTGCACAGTAAAAAGAAGGGTGTTAGACTGTGGAACCACTGAGTGAAGGGCCACTAGAACCCTGAGCAGTCTGTTGTTGCCACTCATGGAGGCAGCAGCCTGTAATAAAGGCATGCAAAGAGGGAAAATTGGACGTCTTTAACACAGAACACTGGCTTCTATACTTTTTGCTCCCATGTAAAAGTAAGTATATTATTGCAGAAGGATAGTGAATTTACAATGTAAAGTATAGGGAGTAAGTGTGATGAAAGTGATCAGATTCCGAACTTAAGTGCAAGTACGGAATGACACGCACTGTATATCCAGTAATTCCACCGTTCATCCATGTGTTGTTGCTCGAATACACAGACTGCGGTTTACTTAAACGTTTTGCATTTCCAGAAGCAACTCCAGCTCAAACACCATCTCAACAACCAGCATGCAACTGTGAAGGTTTCAACTTCAGGTGAGATGTCAGACCAGCCTCAGTGAGCAACTAAGTCTACGTCTGACAAGCTGAATGATAAGGGACTGAGGACTGATTAAAAATGTAGGAGGACAACGACTTTAACAACAACGAATGAAAAAGGTTTAAAACGCAATTCAATGCAATAAAAAAAAGATTCATTTAACTTGATCACGATTAATCATGATTAATCATCAGCTATGCTTTAGTCGTTTAGATTAAAATGCAATTGTTTGACAGCCCTAGTTCATGCTCATATATTGCTTCACTTTCTAAACAGAACAGTGCCTTTGGAAATAAAGAGCAGATGACAACATTTCCCACCAACGTGTCTGTTGACACAGCCGCGAAACTAACACAATATTGTTAAGTCTGTTGTTTTCGACAGATCAAGAGTTGGCAAATAAGAAACATTTGGTTATTAAAATTCCTTCAGAGGTTTTTTTTGTTCATCTGGATTTTTGAATTATTGACAGGCTGTCACACTCAGTCGGGGTGACTGTCAGCATTGTTTTCTACTCCAGTTCCATCAAATTTTCACCCTCACATTCAGTATTTAGACATTCGCTCCAGTTACGCTCGCAAAGAGGTGAAAAACTCGTTTAAACATTCATGGGAACTTTTAAACTCCTCATTTTTTCAGAACTTTCTTTTCGGATTGGTTTATTTATGCCTTTCTTCTTGTGTTTAGTGGAGTGACGAAACGCAATTACCTTCATAGACTGGAACTTTTGACAAGAAATGGATACGTTTCTTCCTTCTGACTTGTCATATGTTTTTTGGGGGAAATAATGTGATGAGTCTCTTAAGCCAGAATTTCAAAGTGTGAAATAAATAGCCCGAGGAAACAGAACTCTTATCAGGCTAGTTCTATGAGCAGCTAGAGTGCTGCATGACTGCATAAGAAGAACGGTAAAAAGATTGGTGAGTGAACCCAGTGTAGAAAACAGATCAGCTGCTAACCTTTCCATAACCCTCCTTTATGCATTTCCAGGTTTCTGCTCCCTTCATTCATTCAGCTAGCGCCCAGACCGCTTGCCCCCACAGTTGCACAGCCGATGGTCGAAGCTCAGCTGCTGTGTTCGTATGGGATGCAGCAGTAAAGGTCATTGGTGGAAGTTCAGCATTAGTGATTAGAATTTAAAGTGACCTGCGGTGGTTGCATTTGTAGTCCCCGACACCACAGGGAGAGTTCAGGGGACTGAGAGCACGAGTCAGCGGTTACAGAGAACCGAGGGATATGAAAAGCAGCGCCGTTGACATCGGGTGTTCAGTTCTCACGCACGAGGGCACACAGGTAGGAATCCCAATCACTGATGGACGAGAACACGCCACTCGCCATCCTCAAATGCTCTTTCGCCTTATGTTTATGTTTGCAGTGCGGCTCATTATAATTCGTCAGAACATTTGCAAAGGCTAACAAATCAAAGTCAGCGGGCATATTAAAGAGAAGGAGAGTAAGTGGGTTTGGCTTCCCCAGGGGGATTGCTTTGTTGCGCGGAAATAAATCCTGCTCCTGATTAGACATGTTCCACACAGGTGCGAAGGGACGCGACGCCGAGCCATTAGAGTGTTGACAAGTGGGACCGTAAACATGATCTGACAAATTGTCTCCATTCCAATTAAATGTCTTAGAAAACTGAAAAGTAGGCTTGTGGTATATAGAAGTAGTTAGCATTTAAGTATGTATGGTTGTACGATACATGGTTTCACTTAAGGCCCCTTTGATAGATTATAGTACCATCAAGAAAACTTTGAATAATTACAGTGTAAGAACCAACTTCCCTCTGGGGAACCTTGTGTGTAATTTATGAGGACAAGCCTGTTCTCGGTGTGTATTTAATCATATCGCGCTGCGACACTGACAAAAACAAAAGGAATCATCACTGATTTGTCTACCTTCATATGTGCCGAGTTAAAACGACAAGTTAAAAGCACTGGATACTGCTGTTCTGTCATGTTGGTGAGGGATTTCTGCACACACAATTTTGATCACAAAAAAATACATTGACAACATGGCGGACATTACTTTTCTACAGACACGTATTGACTTCAGCATGTGACGTTTGGTGTCTTTGGGAACATCCACCATGATTACAGATGAAAACCACAGGCAGATCAGACCACTGGAAATCCAATTACACATCCGAAACAATCACATCACAACAACTGCATCGACGGTGTTAATCAAGAAAGGAAAACTGGTTTGTACTTTCAAATCGGTCTTTCCAAATGTCATGAGTTTCATTACGACAAATCAGATCAGTAGACATGGTTAGATAAATGCCTGTGATTAGCTTATCGTGTGACAGTATCAGGTCGTGGGGGGACTATAGCTAACATCAATGATGTCGTAAAAATAAAAAACAAAACAATTATTTAAAGCAGTTAGACACACGCTGCTTCAAGCACGTCTGAAATCCTACATTAATATTTCCATCTGATACATACACACATCTCTCTCTCTCCCTCTCCCACTTTCTCTCTGCCTGCGCGCGCGTCTGTGTGTGCGTGCGCGTTTGCGTGTCGATATGCTCATGTGTCTTCGGTAACAATCTGTGACTGTGTGAGTCATCCCACCATTAGACGGTCTCTGAAGCACAACAACCGGCCATAATCTGCCGGACACCGCACTGTAATGGCTGTGTGCGAGACAGCTAATAAGTTACACAACAGATTGCAAACTGAGTCACTCTTCTGGGCTTCGTCATTATTTCTCGACCCGCTGACTGCGACCCCGGGGTGAGTTGAAAACCTGCTCTGAAGGGCTGAGGACGTGACGTGTCCACTTTCTCTGAGGGGTTTGCCCTTTAAGATTCACTGATGTTTGAACTGTCCATGAAGAATATTCTTTTTTTTTTTATTTCTTTTTTTAAAGCATGCTTAAGTCAGATATCACTGACGTCTAATGTACTAAAGGAACGAGTCCTACCCCTGGAGACTGTGAAATCAATTTTTATCATATTTAACCTAATGCCTAATTTGTCATGTGTAAAGAATGACTATACGTTAATTAAAATTATTGGAAGTATGTTACTATAAATTATGAGCCGGGGCCAGAGGTTGCCCTACAAACACAAGTGGGAACCGCTGCCATTAATATTCTCATTCGGGAATGCAGGGCAGATATTGATCTTGGTCTGCTGTGCGTGTCTTAGCAAATGTGCTGCTAGTAAGCGTGCACATGAAGCTCGGGCCGGGCTCGTGTGTGCTGCTGCACGTGCCTGAGTGGAGGGGATCATTTGGAGGGGAGCACAGATGAACAGTCGTGATGCTGGAGCGTATCTGTCTATCTCCAGCTATTTAAGTGGGGAATCCAACTAACCCTGACAGGGTGGAGAGAGCGAACAGAAGTCAGGGGAGTGGAGCTGTGGGGGTTGGTTTTTTTTTCTTGGAGGCTGGAGCTTTTTCAGCACCACGGAGAGCTCCGGTGCCTCATTTGCCACTCTGCTGGCCGTCACGGAAATTCTGTTTCCAGTGTGCCAGCTCTCTGCTGACAACACTGATAGGATATCCCCATAAGAGAGCGAGCTGAGGCAGCTCATTTAACACAATCAAGAGACATAAAATCCCATCTTCTTTGAACGCCTCGTGATGCTCGAGTTTCCCTGCTCTCTGTGAAGGGGGGGATAGGTTGGAAGACACCGGTTTATGCCAGAGGTTAAGTCTTCCTCCAGGGAATCAGATGAGGGGTTAAAAAGTAGGTAAGCGGCTGTGAATGGTGTCGAGGTGTCGGGGGGCCAGCAGCGTGCCACGCCAGAATGCCTTGCGTGGAATGTGAGTGTGTGTGTGTGTTATCATTTCACTCCCTCTACTGCTTGAGCAAACCTGGCGCATCCGGGCAGAGAGAGAGCGAGATAGAGAGAGTCCTCCCGGAGCCATTTATCAGCAACTACCCCCGGTGTTTCTGTAGCGGGAAGATTCGCAACACAGTTACACAAGGTGAGAGAGAGAGGCTGGCATCTGGTCATTCTGAATGATTAATCACAGCTCGCGTTGCGCCAGACAATGGACCACAAACCATTCAGTGTAATTAAGCACTGTCACAGATTGTCACTGACATCGCCCGCGCTATAACGCAGCTCACGGCACTCTCCTGGTTCTGCCTCTGGCTAACAAACCTCCCCCTCCAGAAGATGCCCTTCTGCTATTGACACAGTTCTACCCCGTTGTGGGGAAACTTAGCCGAATTGAAAGCATGCTACATTCACCATATTTTCTATTTACATGTGGTAACACAACCAAAAACAAGCGGTGGTTAAAAAAACGAAGCCACTCCGCGCATCCAAAAGCAGCCAAACTTGTACAAAGACATCAACAAACATCATCCAACTACAGAGCAGCCTGTGTGGGAGGACAGTTCTCCACTTACCTGTGTTATTCTGGGGCTAAATGACGGGGAAATTCGAGCGAATGTTGCCACAGAATTCCTCGCTACAACGCGTCCAAACTGCGTTCTCTCTCTTTTTTTTTCTTTCTTTTAGTTCCACAGTTCTTCTTCTCGTCTCGCTGGGCCCTCAACGACTTTATAGTTCTAATTTCGGGGAGTAAATGTGTCAGGAGCAGCTGCGTTAGTAGCGACGGGTAAATGCGTCCCAACTCTCAGCAGCGGCTTGCCATTCTCCGGCTGGTCTCCTCTCAGCGCTGCGCTCCTGCTCTGCCCTATTTCAACCGCTCTCTCTCTCTGCGCTCTCCTCCTGACGTCAGCCGCTGCACGCCAACTGCGGTGAGGCTGCATCTGCAGATTCATCCCACTGGAAAGCGACACCTGTGTGTCAGTGTAGTGAGTGTATATGTGTTTCGGTCTACACTGTTCTTGTCTGCATTAAAATGGACGACAAATTATGAACTGTCATGTAGACAGCCTTAATATGCAGGTTGAGGCAGGAATTGCGTGTTATTTGCGTGTTAAGTTGGGTATGGACTGCCCAGTGGTCACACACACGCACGCACGCGCACACACGTAATGATGTATCACATCAATGATTTTTTTTCAAATTTAAAGACAGAATATTACTGGTGGTTTGAACATACACAGCTAAACTTTAGCAATATCATTCTAATGCCCCCTTTATATGGAAAAAAATAACAGAAAATAAAGAGAACCCTTTATATGAAAAAAATAACAGAAAATAAAGAGAACACGATATATGAAGCTATTTAAAGAGTCTGGTGTGAGAAATGATACAAAGAAACTCACGAGATCAACATGAATAGTAACAAAAACAACAAAAAATAGTATCATAATAATAATTCAATTATTATTATTATGTTTAGTCCCAGAAGAACCCTTGACCACTGAAATTTTACACAAGTCTGAACAATGACGTGGGCAACCTACAACCCAATGAACCCAGTGAAGTCCCTCCAGTGAAATACAGGCACTTTTGCGCCCCCTATGGAGGCACACCAACTGGTTCGGGAAACCACTCAGTTATATTTCACCATATAACCATAACATAAGTGATGTCAAAGATATAGTTGCGTCTCTTCTATGAGATTGGCACCTTATTACCTGCAGTGTCACTGATTTATCAGGATGACACTAATGGTGCTCACAAACACAGTAGGTAGTAATAATACAATCACTTTTACAGATGAGCACCCTCAAAATTACCGGGGTATAATAAGGTGACACATGTTTTTTCAAAGGCAAAGTGCAATTTAATTGCCGTTAAAGTAAATCATTTATACGCGCGAGACATTAATCCATTCATTACTGAAAGTGGAAATGTGCGTCAAACACATTTTCCTCTGCTGCCTCCTCACCCTCTTAAAGTAGGACATGGTACGAGTGCGAGTGAGGCCTACGGTACTGTACACAAAAGACACGTTAATGTTGGTGCCCCGATCAAAATTGCATGTGGCACTAAAACATTTATGCTTCATGTAACATTTATCAAGGCGATGGGGAAAGAAAAAAGAAAAAAGAAGAAGACTGGAAGTAGAGCAAACAGAGATGGGGAATAAAGAGGAATGCGAAAGAAGGCGGCTTTAGTCATGATGGTGCAATACCAGAATATTTTCCACTTAAGATGGAAAGAAAGACACGAAGGAAAGATTTGAGGCAGCTAACTTGGCAGTGTGTCCCAAAATGTATCACTGGATTCAGTTTTATGATGTCAGTAAAAGCCTATTAGAATGGAATTATTTTGACTTTTGGGAATTCTTACGCTAAAGACATTTCTCATGAACGACGAGCTTTTAAACTATTCTTACTTTCACAGCTTGAGATCGCACGAGTAGACAAAAAAAAACCCCGTTCTGTCGACCCTCTATGGGCCATTGCAGTGGACATGTTCCGATCCATAATATTGACAAATGCATATCAGATCTATTCATAAAAAAAAAACAGCGGCTCTCTGAGCAATGCAGAGACAATCTCAGACTGCTGTAGGCACACAATCAATCATACCTAAATGGTGCAAATGTGACTTGGCTCTCGAGGGGCCCATAAAGACATGAGGCCATGCGTTGCATTGCGAGTGGAACATCACGCGCGTTTTGCCGTTTAGTCTACATCCCTGACTGGTCAAAGTGAGTTTCATCCTGTGGGGACGAGGCAGGTGGGTGGCGGGGGGTTATCATTATCACTGTCACCATTACCTCTGTGTGAGTGTTTGTTGTAGCGGAGACATCAGAAACATCAGATCATCTTCTCTCACAGTCAAAGACACTGCGGCAGGTGTCAGCACGGAAGGGGCCTCCTTCACGTAGCTGCTCTCAGGCGAACACAGCCATACACTAAAACACACAGACACAAATATGCTATACGTGTATGTGTGTTGTGAATTGAGATGATATTAAAAATATATATATATATATAGTATATATGTAAATATATGTCAATATAAATATAAATATATGGCTAAATATATATCTAAATATAAAAATATATGTCAATATAAATATAAATATATATATAATGTAAGAAATGCCAATGTAAATATATCTTTAAATGCTTATTAAACTCATTAATTCCTCATTCAAACTTCAAAGAATAATACATTGTTGCTCTCTCTGCTTTTGTATTTTGTTCAGTCACTGCAGTGCCATTTAGATGGCACCTGACTGGATTTTTTTGACACGATAATCCATAGTGAACAAAGGTAGCAGGTGGAAGAGAGCTTAAAGACGTGGAAGTATGCACTAAAGAGGAGATCAAAAGTCTGAAGGAAAACCACCGAGTACAGACAGGTGACTTAGACTGAAGCAGGTGGGAAAGTGGAGACGAGGTACGGGGAGTAAAAGTCGAGACGTTTAAATACCCGGTGTTAACCGTTTCAATCCACCTTCTTTTCCAGGAACATATGGACAGATTGGAAATGTCTGTCTCTGTTAATTATCTGATGGGAAAAGTTTGAAAATATAGGTTTACAGATGGAACGGCGACCTGCTATCATACATGGTTTCAAGGCAGTGGCATTTTCTTAGAGACAGTTCACTAAACTGAGGGGGAGGGAGGATGGTGGGGCCTATTGGGATGGACAGGACAAAAATCAGAACAGATCAGAGCGCCAGCTAAAGGTGGAGATGGTCGGAACATGTGCTGAGGACAGATAGTGGCTGTGGTGCACAGAGAATGTTGCAAAAGTAGCATCTGGAGTGGAGGGAAATCACAGAAGTATTGGAGCAGGATAAGAAGATATCTGTCCTAACAGTGGACGAGATAAGGTGTGGGGGTGAGAGAGGGAGGATGAGCTGTAACGGTGACCCCTGAGAGGGGAAGGCGAAAAGGAAACAGCTTAAAAATAAATATATATATGAACATTATATTTTTAGTATTTTTTTAAAGGAATAAAGAAGGGACTTAAATAAATTATTAATATACAGTAAAAATTAATCAAAACAGTGAAAAGATATATTTATTTTTAAGTTATATCGTAATATTTTATCTGATCAACATTTTTTTCTTCGAGTGTTGCACCCAAACACTGTAATCATATGAAAATAACATGATAAATATTGTAATAAAGGCATGTATATAACTTTAAAAGACTATATTTTATGTATTTGTTTACAATAGAGAATGTAAGCAAAGGTAAGAATATGGGTTGATAAAAAGGAAAAGTACTTGCACACACACTCGCACACAAACCCAGACAAACACACAAACATGTCTCTCTGCTTTTACCCAAAACACATACTAATAATATCAGGTTCTTCTACTCTTCCAAATCTCAAATGATCTCAATCTCTTTGCTTCTGTGAAGTTTTTCCTAGCATGTTTGATTTATATTCTTGCTTCTGTGAAGTTTGTTTTTTTCCTAGCATGTTTGATTTATATTCCTGGAATTATAATAATATAATTCTTAACAACAATGTATGTTTATTTACCCCCCAAAACTACAGTTCCATGTATATTGTTTTAGATATTTCTAACACACAAATATATACTAGGGATTTTTACATATAGTAGTGAATAACATTCATTATGAGCAGGTTTGTACTTAAAAAGCATGAAAACAAGAAATAACATAATATCAATTGTGACTTTTCACACTGTGGGATGAATTAAGGACTTCTTAGCTGAAATACTTAAAAGCCTGCTTGTCCTTAGCACACACTACATTTACACTTCTGCCTTTTCAATCTCTTTAAACATTCAAGTTGTTTCATTACCTTTAATTTTCTCCTGAGTGAAAATTTAATCCTTTTAATGTTCTGAAGCACACACACAAAAAAGAGAAACAAACCCAGAGCGTCATATTTTCTTTAACTTCAAATATTCACCTGAACATGACACACTGTGGATGGCAGAAAATATACTTTATATTTCACTAGTCTTGTCCTTGGCTTCTGCCTCAATTTATCTTTCCAGTAAACAATGTTGGAGTTCCAGCTTTTTTTTTTAAAATGGACCCAGTCTATTCTTTCACATTCTAGGATTTCGTTCCCCCCGTCTGTGCTCATACATAAACCTGTTGCTTCTCTTTGTTTCTGTCCATCTCCACCTGAATTCCTCCCTGCCTTCCTCATCTTCCGCATTCCACCAACAAAAACAGAAACACGCACGACTACATTTGTCACTCTCCGACCCGCTGTTGGTCCACTACCCCTAGCCGTTCACCTGCTACACGCCCTTGTTTAATGGTCTATGTTTCCTCGCGCCGCCCTGCTCCAATTTGATAGCAGCCCAGCCGCCTGGTTCCCCAGATGACCATTCAGATAGAGCTAACAGATGAAAGCAGCAGTAAGACGCTGGCGGTAATGGCGCTATAGCTCGGGCTTACAGCCCATATTTCTCCCTGATGGCTCTGCTGCCCAGACTCTCTCTGACACCTGCAGGAGTGAGCTGCTTGGAGGAGTTGTTAGTATTAGAGATGCAGGGTCACACACAAAGGAACAGCGGCTAACACGGGCCCACGCGCTCCGAAACATGACGTCGACCGAGTCGATTTCTTAATCTTTCCTCTGACAAAGAAAATACCTGTGGAGTACAAGTTCCTTCGCCACTGAAGAGGAGATTCAAGCAACGTTTTAATAGTTTAAGTTGTATAAACGGCAATTAAATAAAATATTTAAATGTACTGTAGAATTCTACAGTTTAAGTTGTATAAATGGCAATTTTTTTTTAAATATTTAAATGTACTGTAGAATTCTATGTCATTGTGAAAAAGCAGAGGACAGAATTTGGAATTTTTTTTTCCTCTAATGTTTTGGGCAGCCATCGGGATTAGTCAACTCTGAATCAATGATTTACATTTATATACATACATATATGCATATATACATACATATATACATACATATATTCATATTTTATTATTCTACTGGAAATAGCACAATTTAAATGAAATAAAGTAAAGTAAGAATTCTAGAGACAACGGCTGTAAATAACTAGACAAGAACAGTTGCAGTAGGTGAGAATATCCATGAAAAATCAAATGTGCAGCTCGAGGAGTGTATTTGTGTGTTCAGGAGGGGGGAGGGCGCAGATGTAGGTGTATATGCCTTACAAGCCTTATTTTTTTGTAAATAAACAACCCTGTGAACAGTGTTGTGATTCATCTATGGGGCTCTCCT